AATTGGGCAGGCCGGAGACGCGCGGAGCCGAGGGGGGAGCTGAAACGGGAGACGGAAGGGGGCGACCGGAAGCCGCCATCTGTCGAACACTTGACGTTGTCCGTCCTCATCTGAGGCGGTCGGGGGGGGACTCGGTTAGCAGGGGTGAAGGGGACACGGGGATAGATGGCCCACAGCCACCTGAAATGTTTGACATTGGCATTTCTGTGTGAGCGTAGGTGTTGTTTGATTTAAACTAACTATAAGTATCAGCGTTGAGTTTATAAGTATGGGCGTCGGTTCTAACGTTTCGGTGTTCATTACATCAGGGTTCAGTGATGGTCTTTCAGTTGCCCAGTCAAATAGCTATCATAGATGGAGAACGCGATACGGTGGCCGCACCGAATTTCTTCTAAATACGCACATTTTAACACCTCTATGAAAGTAATCACTCTGTTTAGCACTGTCCACTCCTGCTGATTGTTACAAAGAAGAACTAGTAATTTCTCATGATATGAGTCAAACAGCGTTACCCGCTACTGCCAGCTTTACCATTTTAACTTTTTCTGGGCGTCCGGGTTACCAGAAGGTGCCGGCTTCGACTTCACGCGGTGCCCGCCCGTCCTGCCAGAGTGAGAGGCAGGTGACTGCACACAGCCTCCGCAGCTGAGTGCTTCGTAAAGCTCCCATGCCATCCACGTATTGTGTGAATCCTGGCATTTGACATTATCAGCAGGAAGGCAAATGTCACTTCAACTGGTACCCTCTTCGTCCCGCTTGTCGCCTGGGCGTGGCAGTTTGGAATGCGCCCATCCCGAAGCATGCGATGCAGCTCACATTCTCTTCATTGTTCATGTGTTTGTCCAAGGAGGCTGAAGGTACGATAAGCACATGCTGGGGACATTTATCTGCACCTGAGGTGCGAGCATTGCCCGTCAGTTCACGTACCCGCATCCATCTTAAAGCGCAACGAAGCAGGGTGTCTAGCAGTCAGTTATGCGTCTTCGGATATTTATCATGCAGTGCCAGCCGGGTTATTGAGCAAACATTCTTCGGTATGATGTATACATCCTGATGAAAAGGGCGGCAGGACCTCACCTCACGTAACGCGTAACTCGTAAACGCACAGCGCGGACGTGATTAGTATTCAGCGCGCTCATCGTGATGCGTTCCGACTTCACTGCTGCTATAAATAGCACTTTCACTGTCTGCGATGGGATGAAGTTCTCTCTCACCGCCGTTATTCACGCGTAGCTGAGACGGTGATGTTCATCATCTCTACGCTACCGCTGGCGTTGTGCTCTACACGCGCGGCAGCGTATGGGAAGAGCACAAGGGTGTATCCAGCTCTGCATACGTAGCGCCAGGCCCAGCAAGTTACAAATGCTGCAATCGACGACAGCGGCAGGTTGGTGTTTCTGAAAACTTGATGTTTTTGGGGTAGCATACATCGCGTCAGAGAAAGTGTTGGACATTTTACAAGTTTTTTTCCGCGTCTGCCCTTCTTTACGTCGATACTAGTTACCGATAAAACAATCAGCAAAGCTTAAAGTGTTGCCTGAAATGTACTTCTTCCTCCCTTCCACGTTCTTCCTTTCTTGAGTCACCACACTATCGCAAGTAAAATGCGATGAAAGAACACTGGAAATATATGTTAACGAGAGACACATACCTAGAGCTGACATTCCTTGACAGCTAATGCCGCTTTTTGCAAGGCTTTCATCGCACTATGCAATTTCATCGGCTTACTGCTGTTTAGGTACTATTCCAATGATATGTTTCTATGGAGATCATATAAGGGTTTCTAACGCAGATGGTGATGCTTTATTCATGTCTGCGGCCGCGGCTCTTTTTTCCACAGCTGGAAATGCTCGTCTTGCCATCGGTCCATACTTGCGAGAGGATCTTGGCGATATTCTTCCTAGGATGAGATGGAAACGCTACCGGTTTTTAGATGTCTGGAAAATAATGCATCTTGAGTGTGTATGCAAGATGCAATTTTCCTATGTATGACTGGAACGCCGCTGTAGGCTTGTGGCAAACGCTGGAAGAAGTCGCTTTACTTTTTTATTTTACTTTACTTTTTTCTTTTATTTCAAGGTCCAGAAACTTGGATGCATTTTGCAGCATTCTTATAAGGTAGAAGACTCTCGAAACTGAGCTGAAGCTCTTGGGGCCTGAAATGAATCGAAACATTAAACTTGACTGAGCCCAGTGTTAGAAACAAATCTGAACATACCATTTTCATAGAGTTCCGTTAGTAAGGGCCATTACCATACCCCTAACTAAGTTGCGAGGAGTCGAGTGGCTGCACTAATTTCCTGTCATTTTAATGGATTGCGTTGCCCTAGGTAGCTGTCTTTTCCAAACAACACCCGCGTTGTGGGGGAGGAGCTGCAAGCGTATTTTCAAACGGATCGTAAGGTCTGTGCAGCGGTTTAATTAACGGAAGGGCAGGGGCAAGCGCTTAGTCACGACGCGTGTTCTCTGACGGCGGCGTTACACCGCACGCGAAACATGGGCCGTCGGTCCCGGTGACCGCAGTTGACACGACCTGCTTGTTTACACTGGAGGGACGGTTCGGCGGCTGGAACACCGCCAAGCCGCCGCACTCGAGCCGGCCTTCCGCAACCGCAGGGTCCGCCCAGTCTGAACACGGATTGAACGCCGCGGATCAGAGGCACGCGCCGGCGGAAAAAGCAGACCTGGAGGCGTGCCATCGTCTCCCCTTTGTAGTTCGCAGAGGGCTGTGATTCATAGTGCGCCCGCCTTTTTGCGGGCCATCGGCACTGACTCGGCTTTGTTCCTTGCCGGAGAAATTGAGGACGGGGAAGGGGTGAATAATTGTGAGCCCCTGATATGGACCGCTCTTGTCATGCGGTGTTGTCATATCGATGCGTTGGACTGCGCTTTGCCGGTGGGGGACAACATATTACATTAAATGGACAGCGAATCAGAATATCAGAATATCTGTCGCTGTTGTGACCAATGTATCTGCGAGCCTGGTCGGGCTCTGATCGAGAGGCGTCAGGCGCGTTGGCTGCACCGCCGCTGGCGCGGTGGCGGCCCTTGGGCGGCGCAGTGCGGCGGCCGGTCGCCGGACGTCACGCCCCCGCATCCGCATCTTCCGGCGGTCCCACCAGGAAATTCGAAACAGATAATGGTACGGCACCGTTGCTGGAGAGGGGTGTCCGGACATGGTCGGTCGCCGCGTACCAACGATTCTCTCCATTCCCTCTCCTCTCTCCAGCCCCATCTCGTTCTTTTCGTTATTTTGTTTCTACTCCCTTCGTCTTCCCTTTTTTCGTTTGACCCTAACTGTCTCCTTTTCCCCTTCTTGTTTCTTTCCTTCTCTCTCTCCCTCTCTCTCTCTCTCCCTCTCTCTCTCTCCCTCTCTCTCTCTCGCCCTCTCCTTCTCTCTCCCTCTCTCTCGCTCTCTCTCCCTCCCTCTCCCTTTCCCCCTCTCTCCTTCTCTCTCTCCCTCTCTCTCCCTCCCTCCCCTCTCTCGGGCCCGTCTCACCGGTGTAAATAGCCCGGCCCAATCAGATGGCGGTTTGGCGGTCGGGACCCACTCGAGCAGGGAGGTCTTCCCTGATCAGCTATCTGGTAATTGAGACGCGCTACCAGGCTGTCGAATGAATGGCCGCCGGCCGCGGACCAGCCGCCGGCGGGACCACTCGTGTTGTTGTTGTTGTCCAAGACACGTGCTGGTAGCACGTTGTCTGATGTTCCACACGAGTCGGTGGGACCACAGACCGCTGGCGGGACCACGCGCATGTTGCTGTCCGACACGCGTTGGCAGCACGCTGTCTGACGTGTCGGTGGGGGACTACAGACGGCGGAGATATGATCCTAGCGGAGTGTAGTGCGGTGCGTGCGTTGCTGCGATCCGAACGAATCAGAGGCGGTGCGTTCGTCCGGGATCAAGCGGTGTGGTGAACTGCTGACATTTCTGGGCGCTAGATCTGGGCTCTCCTGGAGGGAGGCGCAGAAGCCAGTTGGCTCTTGTTTTAACTCAACTCATGGATCAATCATCAGTGTGATGCCGTGAAGAGAATGATGGCCTTTGATGGGACCCCCAGGCCGGCATGTGTTTATCAGGTTAGATGGACGTTTACACTTCATACAAAACTCAGCTTTGCGACCCTTCCTCTGGCAATGTTGTGTGAAAATACGTACAAAAAGGCCAAATGGGATAAACGGAAGTGAAATGGGTCATCAACCCAGCGCGTCAGAACTGACCAAACCTCGAAACCAGCGATAGGTAGGCAGTAAGGGCAGATGTGACGCACCTCACTACCTCAGGACACGGGCTCGCGCAGTGAAGAAGGAACGCAGCATGACGTAGTCGACGCTGATCTCAACGTCGACAGTGATGTCAGACGGGAAAGTGGGACCACTCTTGCTAGGTGCCGTGTCCTGTTGTTTTTGGGGTAGGGGTTGGGGGTGGCGCGAACTTCTAGCGGGTGAGCCCTGAATGTGCGCCGTTAAAATAGCAATGCTGGAATTAGAGGCACAGCTCTGGTACGATACAATATCAAGCGCTGAATCTCCTCTAGTTTGTGGGGTATTCTGGGAGCATCGGGTCAGGCATGCTAGTATCTGAACCCTGCCACCGGTCCTGGACTTAGGGATCGGCTTCGTCAACACCAGATGCGAAAGAGAAGCAAGAGTGATGTTTGGTCGTGGTCCCTCACTCTCCGTGCATGGGAGAGAGAGAGAGAAAAAAGAGAGAGAGAGAGAGAAAGGGAGGAAGAGAGAGTGAGTGAGTGAGTGAGTGAGTGAGTGAGTGAGTGTGTGTGGGGGGGGGGGGGGGCGGGCAACTTATCGACTGGCAGACGCTCCTCGTATACACTAACAGAGACTTCCGTTCCGTCTGTCCGTATGCATGCCCGTCTTTTCTACTCCCTCTTCCCGGCGTCTCCTTCTCCCCTCTCTCCCTGTACTGGGCCCTGCGGAGCTCCAGGCGTGGCGTTCATTGCCAGGCAGGTGCTGACCGTCGCCCCGCTCTGCGTGCGCAGGGTGCTGGTGGGGGCGCCCCAAGCCGCCACGACCCAGCCGGGCGTGGTCAGGGGAGGAGCCGTCTACAAGTGCAGCGCCGAGCCGCCGTCCAGCGACGCCTCGCGACTCCGAAACTGCCAGCAGATTCCTTTCGACGTGAAAGGTGAGCGGCTGTCCCTGCCGCGAGGACTGAGGCTCGTGTGCCGGTGGCCGCCGCCCCCGCTGGCCGATAACGCGCGCCGGCAATTGCTTGCCCATTAGTCTCACTTCGAAGGTGATCTCAGCCGTCAGCTTGAATGTTACTGAGCCGCCACCGGCGCTGTTTTGTACATCATCCCATCTCATCGGTTCTGAATTCAGCAAGAAGCGGCAGGAATAGAATTCGTCGCAACCCACGGGCGCGCGGCAATCGTATCTACTGCGCTGTTGAACTGATGACACCGTGGTGAGGCCCATCGGTGCACCAGCGTCCCCTGATAGGGCTCCAGCGCCCGGATCCCCGCCGGCTCGGACCCGCGCGATATAAATAAACAGCTCTGCGCCCCGGCCTACCGGGCCGACCAGCGTCCAGCGATGGCCGCCAGCGACAAGGGCAGCTCCTGGGGCCCGGTCCCGCTGCTGGTACGGCACGAGGAGAGCCTTATGGAACCTGACGACGCGTACGTCAACTGACCGCAACTGTTCCCAACCTGACGCGTACGTCAGGTTGGGAACAGTTGCGGTAGATTGGGAAAAGCTTTGTGCCTCTTCATTCTGTGCGATGCGGTGGAGACGGTGTTTTATCGTTTCCGGGCGGCAAGGGGATGAAATGTAGCTGCCCTCCACTCAGACGCACCCCGTCCGCGTCCACCATGTTGTACACGCTCCAGGCGCGTACAGCAGTGGCATCTCTGTTATAGTTCACGGGCGTCAGCAGCGTAACAGGGTACCGTAACATATACACTACTTGAATACCGGATGTGGTCGAGTCGGCGGGATGATCTCCGATGCACCAGACCGGCCTACACGCAAAATCCGGCCTCCATCGGGCACGGGGCGACATTCTTGACGCTAAATCCTCATCTGCATACGGAATCGAAAAACACGCCGCGTCTTGGGTTCGTGCCCAGAATCCGGTGTCCCACGAGGACATAGCGCCGGCCCGGCATCCACGCCCATCGGTTACGCGCGGGGCAGCGGATGGGGAAGCAGGTCACAGCGCTTGGTTCGTGTGTTGGCTGTCGTGTGCACTCAGACACTTAATCACAACTCAGCCTCAGACTCCCATGGAGTCGGGCGGATTATGCACCGGCTCCGCTCCGCCGATTGTTATACGTGGTGGCCGGATATTTACGAGTGCATACGCTCGGCACGCAGCGGCGGCTTCCGGGGTCGGTCTCCGAGCGCGGCCGTCCGATGCCCCGCCGACGGCCGGGCCGGGCCGCCTGCTGCACGGGCGGCACGCGCCGCGCCACCACTCCGCGGCCTCATCGACGCCTCGCTGAGCCGTCAGCCGGTCGGTGTCGACGCGAGCGGAACGCCACAGCCAGTTCTCTCCGGGGAAGCACGCCGCTGCCGGAGCCGCGGCCAGCCGTCGCCGTGGGTCCGCCTCGGACGGGCGCCCGCCGGCCGTTCGGAGCCGGCGCTGGGCCGACGGCTTGATGCCGCCGCTCCCCGCCGTGCCGTGTTTTGGGTCGGCGGTGACCCGGTGACCCGGCGCCGCAGCTCGTGCCCACCTGCGGTACATACGCCGGCTGTCAGGGCTGCGGCGCTCGCGCCGTCGCCGCAACCTGGCGCGACCGCACCGGAAGTGGTCGGGCGACGCGGCAGTCAAGCCAACAGCCAAGTCATGTGGACGCCCATGCTGTTACGTCAGGCAACTGATGTCACGGCGTACCCATGCAAGCTGGGCTAACACTGGCTTAATGTCAGCTGGCGTCAAGATAACGTGTGCGTTGTTGATGCGATATTAGATATTTTCCATTGCTTCTCATTAGGCTAAAATCGCCAAGCGACCTGCGTCAGCAGCCGAGCAAGAGTCAGCATATCACAACGCTGGCTTAGAAAAAAAAAAAAACATTATTTTCTTTCCAGCGGTGCGAGACAGATATTAGTGTCATCTGCTCACAGATACCTGTTGCCGGATCAGTTTGAAAAACAACGAACCAGTGTGTACAACAGGGTTAGGTCTGGACTTTGCGTCACGCACGTACAGAACGGCCAAGGTGAGACCGCGTATCGGTGACTGAATACTCGGGTGGTTGCAGCACGAGTGAGTGCACGCTTTCAGAAGGAGCAGCCCTATCATCGATGCCGATAACTTGTCATCATCGCGGTCGATAACGTCGAACAACATAACGCCGCATTCACGGCCATGTGATGTCTGCAGCTGCAGATATGTGGCAGCGAGGGAGGGGGCGGGGGTGGGGGGCGGGGGGCAGCGGAGCCACCGAGCAGAAGCTCCGTCCACGGGGTCAAGGGCCGGGCCGCTACCATCGGACGCGCCGGCGGTATAGCAGCGGGAGTCGCGATCGCGGTGCCCAGCTCACAGCCCGCCCGTATTATAATACAATGGGCCGGACTGAGTAGGAAAGAAAGGGAACGAGCCGAGCGGCGGAGGCTGCCGACGTGGATCAATCGCCGGCAGCCGGCGGTACATTACTGGCGCCCGGCGCCGCGCCAGGCCGGTCCGTCACATGTCGGGCACGGGGAGCAGAGTCATCGGAACGGGTCAGGTCCGAGCGCACACAAGAGGCCGCTCGAACAAGCTCAAACGAATGCACGAACGGAGGCTGCTCTTACGTGTGGAGCGAGCGCTGCCATATGTGCATGCACTGTAGCACATACAGCATGTTCATGCAGGGATGATCAGATACAGTTTGATATACTGCAAGGAATTCACATGCTGTTTGCAGTGCTACCTTTACTGGATCGTCGGGTCGCGCGTCCATAATTCGTTGCCCTGGTCCTGGGGTGCGTCCTTCCAGTTCATCACTTTGTCTGACTGACAGCACTTTGCCTGGCGAGCACGTCGTTCCCGTTGCATGTGGCGCACTTATCCGTTATTCAGCTCACGGCTGCCAACATCCTCAACAAACCTCCGTCATCGGTGCTCTGTTTGTCCGCCGTCCACCACTTGGGGTTTCACACAATTGCCGTGAACACATGCAAACATACGTCGGATCGCACGAAACAGGGGAGGACCGAACAAACGTCGCGTTTGTTTCACTGGAAGAGCGTGCCCACTGTTTGTCCGGTCAGGATGAGTCAGTCACGCCGGTCCCAGTGACGACAGCGCCAGCCTCGGGGCAGGCGCGACGCTGGTGACCTCGCGGGGACGGTGACCTAGGGTCTCTGGCACTCTAAACAGCCGGCCCCGAGGCGATGACCTGAGGTCGCCGTTTGGCGCCGGAGTCGGCTCCGTACCAACGTTGCCCCAGTCACGTGCGCCGAAAGCAAACATTGTACGCCGAGTCGCACAGGTCACGCGACCGGGCCCGATCGGCAGGGATGAAACCAGGTCCAAGCAGATCAAATCAGATCAGATCAGATCAGATCAGATCAAATCAAATCAAGTCAAATCAAATCAGATCAAATCAAATCAAATCAAATCAAATCACATCACATCACATCACATCACATCACATCACATCAGATCAGATCAGATCAGACCAGACCGACGGCAGTGCGGAACCGCTCCCGGTCGCGTGCCCCGTGCCGCGCGAGAGATCCTCGCGATGTGCTGTCGCCACTAAGCCGCGTCCGAGACAGCTGGTCAGACGGATGGTACGTCTGTCGGGGGCGCGCCGACGGCCAGCGACCCCGGCCAGCGCCGCTGCCGGCGGGCTGGCGTTCCGGCCCGGTCCTGACCTCTGGGACCCGTGGAGACGGACGTCACGTCACGACCGCTGCCAGATGGCCGGGTGAAGCCGCGCTCCACGGGAGGCGAGCGGGGAGGGGCGCTGCCTGGCGTGCCATCGACTGGGACGCGATGACGCGCTTTATGGCGGCTGCGTCGTCCGTGAGAACCGAGACACTCTGAGGAGCCGTCGGCATTCCCCGGGACATAGACCCGCTCCGTGGCATCCAAACCGTTCAGGCACGCCAACCTGCGAGACACGAGCTTCGGGACTGACCACCTCTGTGGGCCACATTGCTCCAACCTCCGCCACCCATGCCTACGCAAGCTCTCCGCGAGTCATCGCGAGGCGTCACACAGGCCGAGATTGCCCAGTACCCCTGCCGCGCACGAGCTCGTGCACGACACACGCGCATCGTCGGAATAAATCACCAGCCACGTGCCACGGACGCCGACCGCTCACACCTGACGTACTCACAATGGCGGCTCCAGTGAGGCGGTTTGTCTCGGCGTAACTCGGCGGCGGCGGCGGCGGCGGCGGCGGCGGCGGCGGCGGCGGTTCGTCGGCCCGGCGCTCAGCCGCTTGAGCCGCCGGCGTCCGGAGGCGAGCTGCTTCGGCTCGCCTCGCCGGCCGCCGCTGATCAGTATGGGGTCGGCTCGCCGGTCGGCCCAGTTTCTGGCATCCGGGGAGCGCCGACAGCGACCGCCGCGCCCAAATCACCGCGCTGGGATCGCCGCGCCGAGATCGGAGCGCCGCGATGGCAGCGTGACCCGGCGCTGACCGGCGTTACGGCCGCGTCACTCAGCCGGCCACGGGCAGTGCGGCGCCGGCGCCGGCACAGGACGCGGAGCTGGCGAGGTGGCGGCTGGGATGAGCGGGCGGCGTCTCCCGCGGAAGGGCTCAGGAGGCTCATCTGGAAGATCTCTTGAAGTGGTTAGCTGAAGGCGCCCATGCGCGGCGGGGCTTCTCACTGGGATGTTTGTTTCTGTCAGCACAGCGGACTGCTAGGTTGAGACACTCGTGAAAGTCAGTCTGTGCTTTTTAATGGCGTATCAATGCGATTAAGATTCAAACCGTAGCTAAGCCCAAATCGAAGGATCGAAGCTTTCTCGGACGCCTCACCACCCACATGTGCCCCGACGGTCGGGCGGTGAACAAACGGTCCTAGTGTGATGCACTCATCACAACTCATAGACCACACCCCGCGTTACTTCAGCAAAGGGCGGTTCAACCTACATCCGCGGCTTTTGTGCTTGCCGGCAACCGCTACGTGGCCTGTTCCGTGCCAGTCAGTCCACGTCTTCATTGGATCAAATCTGCGCTACCTTGTTAACTCGAACAAAAACGGCGCTGCTGTGGCACATGGTGTTTTGCTTCCGCCATATCTCCATGTCAGCCCGTTAATCCCGTCTGTAAGCATGCAATCAGGCCTCCGCCGGCTTTTTGCGCCCGCTGAAATTGTTACCGTGCGGCCGGCACCTCGGCACGCCTCGGCTGACGGCGGCAGTCTGCCGGACCAGAGGTGCGACATGCCGGCGGCCGGCGGCCGTACGTACCACTGGAACCCGGCGGGACGTGGCGGCCGCGCCGCCGGAACACCGCCGCCGGCCGCGACGGAACAACAGCCGTCCGTCAGAGGCGACGAGGCCGGCCCTCCCACCGGGGTCAGCATTAAAATAATCGGCCGGCCATCCTGCCGGCCTGACCGCCCGGCTGTCCCGGTGAAATACAGCGGCGGTTAGCGGCGCGCTCGTCGGCCCGCCCGGCCGGGGAGGGTCGCTGGTGCCACCCCGCCTCCCTCCCGCTGCCCGGCCGGGGAGGGTCGCTGGTGCCACCCCGCCTCCCTCCCGCTGCCCGGCCGGGGAGGGTCGCTGGTGCCACCCCGCCTCCCTCCCGCTGCCCGGCCGGGGAGGGTCGCTGGTGCCACCCCGCCTCCCTCCCGCTGCCCGGCCGGGAGGGTCGCTGGTGCCACCCCGCCTCCCTCCCGCTGCCCGGCCGGGGAGGGTCGCTGGTGCCACCCCGCCTCCCTCCCGCTGCCCGGCCGGGGAGGGTCGCTGGTGCCACCCCGCCTCCCTCCCGCCGCCCGGCCGGGGAGGGTCGCTGGTGCCTCCCCGCCTCCCTCCCGCTGCCCGGCCGGGGAGGGTCGCTGGTGCCACCCCGCCTCCCTCCCGCTGCCCGGCCGGGGAGGGTCGCTGGTGCCTCCCCGCCTCCCTCCCGCTGCCCGGCCGGGGAGGGTCGCTGGTGCCACCCCGCCTCCCTCCCGCTGGCCGGCCGGGGAGGGTCGCTGGTGCCTCCCCGCCTCCCTCCCGCTGCCCGGCCGGGGAGGGTCGCTGGTGCCACCCCGCCTCCCTCCCGCTGCCCGGCCGGGGAGGGTCGCTGGTGCCTCCCCGCCTCCCTCCCGCTGCCCGGCCGGGGAGGGTCGCTGGTGCCACCCCGCCTCCCTCCCGCTGGCCGGCCGGGGAGGGTCGCTGGTGCCACCCCGCCTCCCTCCCGCTGCCCGGCCGGGGAGGGTCGCTGGTGCCTCCCCGCCTCCCTCCCGCTGCCCGGCCGGGGAGGGTCGCTGGTGCCACCCCGCCTCCCTCCCGCTGCCCGGCCGGGGAGGGTCGCTGGTGTCTCCCCGCCTCCCTCCCGCTGGCGGCTGGTCTCGACGGCGCGGATAGTGGCCTTAACACCGCCTCCCGCCGCTGTCTCCCCCTGTGTCTTCCCCTCTCCGTCCTCTCTCCCTCCCCCCCCCCCCCCTCTCTCTCTCTCTTCCTTCTCTCTTTTCTCTCCCGCTCTTACTCTCATTTTTAATCTTTTAAGTTTCTCTCCCCTCAAATCTCCTTTATATATTTTCTTATATCCCATGATGCTATCCTACCCGCCTTTTACTGCCATTTTTCCTTGTGCCTTCCGCCTTCACCTCCCCGCGCCCAGGCCCACTCTCCGTTTGTATGTTTCTTCCGTTGTGTATTTACACAATTGCTCTTGTATAAACTAACTGGACCATTGAAGTCAACGAAATCGTTGTCCTCCCGTCTGGAGCTGTTCCAGTGTCCCCACAAACAATACAGCTGAAGCGGATGTAGCTGAACACAACGCGGTAAATTGAAGTGCGGTGCAACTGGATAGTGTTGCGGTGCAGCCGTTTCAATTTTGGAGTCGCTGCAGTGGGTTTTGTGCGCTGCATAAAATTAGCAGACGATATTTGCTCTACACTAGTTGGCTTTGATTCGCGGTATTCTGAGAGCCTAAACTCTTCGTATTCAACAGGTTCATCCAACAAAAAAGTAAGAACGATCACAATATTGAACTTCCCAAAACCACGTGCAGATGTCAACCGGACGTGATTGCGTGGGCGTTTCACCTGTCATCACTTAAAACTCTAAGGGTAATATAATTTAGTGATGGCTCCGACGCAAAGAAGGTACACAGGAAAGAAATGCCGCTTTACTGCAAAGAAACAAATTTGTAACTTTGGGGTTTGACGATATTGTCCATGAAATCGAGAACCAGTGGGCTCGTGACGGCCAAGTGGTGAGCGTTTTTGGCTCCCACGTGGGGCCTGGATTTGAACTCAGGTCACGCTGTGGCCCGGGCGCTCATCTGTTCTTTCGCCGTCGCTAATGCTAAAAAGGTGCGAATGCTAGATGCACCTTTTGCGATAGTGCAACTTAACGGGTAAAATACAATACGGCTACGTAACTGGTATGGTAATCTAGCTTACTGCACTAAATGACGCACCTCCTCTGGCTGTTTTCTGACTATGTCCCTGGGTGGCAGTGCTGGCACCAAGGAGGCTATGGCACAGCATCTGCACGTGTTGTTGCAGGGAACAACGTGGCGTCCGGCCGGCCGATGGACGACAAGTCGGGCCAGTGGTTCGGCGCTATGGTGGCGTCGTCGCCGGGGGTGAACAACACAGGAGTCGTGGTGGTGAGTCCTCGCAGCTCGCCCCTCATGCGCTCACCTGCGGACTGACCTCAACAGCCGGCGTGCTTCCAAAAACTTACGTTTATGTGTCATGTAAAAATGGCTGCCGAGAACATGTGCATCAGCAGGCTTGATGCTGTTGATGCAACTTGTTAAGTTCGATTTTCTGTGTAACAGAAACTTGTGAATGTTAAAAAATATGAATTAATGAGCCCTATAGCGGGTTTTTGGAAGGATATCGACGGCGCTGATCACTGTGTGTTGCATGCCCCGGGAAAAATGATGCAAACTGTATGGAAGTAGCGGGTTGATAAGGGCGTCCACAGTGAGCTATATGCAAGGATAAAGGACGCTATTGGTGAAACCCTACGCTGCAGGCCTACTTTGTACATTGCACAACGCTGTGGCGTCTCGATGAACCCGTTTGAGACGATGCAGGATCGGTACACATGTACTCGCTGCGTGCTGACCGTAGTTCAACTAAGTCCCCGAGTTATGATTATGTCCTGTTTGGGTCGTTTCTCTGCCGAGGACCGACCGCGTTTGGGTGTCGGGTTTGGTTTAGATTGACGCATGAAGATGTCACAGAGCATCGACAGATGTCGCGCCTGCACGCCTGACTGCCTTCACGGCTAAACGATAGCACAAGTGTCATCAGAACACCATGACGCAAGCTGACTCGGGTCCCATGGGCCCCCGTGCCACGTGCCAAGGTATGACCACGCAGATAGTACAGCATCTATCAGTCAGGACCGCACTTCCACAAGAGCGGAAATGACGTGGCTGTCCCACCCAAAAACACCCTTGAAGCCACAGTCTTGCCAACGTCATCATACCGTCACCGTGTTTTGTGTTTGCCACAAGTGTGGCTTCCGAGGTGGTCTGGTCACCACGGCACGCCGCTGCACAATGACGGCAGTCAGACAGGCAGACAGACAGTCAGACAGTCAGTCAGTCAGTCAGTCAGTCAGTCAGTCAGTCAGTCAGTCAGTCAGTCAGTCAGTCAGTCAGTCGGTCAATCGGTCAGTCAGTCAGTCAGTCAGTCAGTCAGTCAGTCAGTCAGTCTGTCAGTCAGTCAGTCAGTCAGTCAGTCAGTCTGTCAGTCAGTCAGACAGTCAGACAGTCAGACAGTCAGTCAGACAGTCGATCAGTCAGACAGACTGTCTGTCTGTCTAGACAGACAGTCAGTCAGACAGTCAGACAGTCGATCAGACGGACAGACAGACAGACAGACAGACAGACAGACACAGCCTGTTCCCTCGTTTCGTCTTGAGTCAGGACCAGCCGGTGTCTGACAAGCTATGCTAACCGGAGAGTCGCAGCACACTGCCGATGAGGTTACATGGGTAAGCATCCTGGGAGCATGGGGTTTTAGTGCGGTGTGGAGTGGTGACTGGTTAGGTTTGGTGCGCCGGGCGGTGAGGAGCGGCCCGTATTGAGTCGACGGTTGACTGGAAGCTGGTGCGGTGCATACCAAGCTTTGATCAAACCAGCAGGCTAGATCACTCACCAGTGGAGTGTTTCAATGCAGTCTGAAATATGACCTGTAGAGCGTATGACTCCCCCAAGCTCGATGGCTGCTCCTCCACGGCCATGTTTGTGCCTATAAGTTCGTGGGTGTGAAATCGACGGCGTCATCGGCGTTTGTATATCCTTCTTGTAGGACATGGATGATTCTCAGATATAAGTGTTTGATCGCAACCAATCCATAAAACCCGTCACGGTGCCTCTGCTTGCGCACAGAACTTGCATTCTCGCCGCCTTTTACATAGATAAGACAGTAATATTAACCTTATTTCTCGGAGAAAAGCCAGGAGAATGGAGATATAGTTGGGTTAATATTTCGGCAACATGGCTTTATCGAAACAATAACAGAAGTGCTCTAACTCCTGCTATTGTCTCGTTATAGACATGTTGCCGTAATATCAACCCAACAATATCTCCATTCTCCTGGTTATTCTCCGAGGAATAAAACTAACACTACCATCTTATCTATGTGAATAATGTCCCTCGCTAATTCACTGAACAACTCACGCCGCCCGTTCCTCAAGCCGAAGGTGTTGATATCATTTGTCCAATTACATTATAATAGTGCTGGATTCTAGCGTGTTTGTGAGTGCGGAGTGTGTAGTCACTCGCGTACGTCCATACACACAATCGAACTGGTGATGTTCGCTAGTGATCAATGTCACTCCACACGCGTTAATCCGGCGGACCACCCGCACGTCTGACGCCGGCGTTCATTTATCACAAACTCACTGTATACCCTACATAAGGCGTGGTTAATCTCCCAGTGCTTTGAATGTGACTTCTGGACTGGCCTTGCCTGTGATTTATTTTTCCTCGTCTTGAAACATTATGCAAACGTGAGAGGTTTGTATCACATTACGTGATCCGTGTCTTTGCACGGACTGTAGAGCACTTATGCTCTCTTAACGTTGTGCTACAACTGTGCATAGCCTGTATAGTCTGCGTTACTACAGCTGCTACCAAGACAGCTACTGGCCATCCAAGACAGCTGCTGGCCACCCCGCTAGCAGGCCTGACCCAGACCAAAGCTGCGCATTGGGTGCGTCGGACCGCGCCAGGCTGCCTCACCCGTCCCTCCCACTATGCGCCCCGAAGTTGGCCGACAACAGGCCACTGTCCGGCGGCGGTCGGCGCGGCGACATCTGGCCGTAATGTTACCCGCCGGCCGGCCGGGCGGCACAGCGGCCGGCGCCGCTCCCCGCTGTCGGATGAAAGGCGCCGACCGGCGGACGGCTGGACGCCAGCGCCGGCCGGCGGCGCCCAGTGCGCCACCCGCCGCCTGGTGGCAGACCGGAGCCAGCTGGACGGCGATCCGGACCACTTGTCCACCGGGCGTCCTGTCGGTTCCCATCACCGTCACGGCTCCGGTGCTGTCACCCGACCGCCTCAGACCGCGCCCCTCACATGTGTAGGAGCGCGGTCTATGGCGGCCGCCACTGTGCAGGAGCGCGGTCTGAGCGCGGTCCCGCCACTGTATAGGAGCGCAGTCTGAACGCGGTCCCGCCACTGTGTAGGAGCGCGGTCTATGGCGGCCGCCACTGTACAGGAGCGCGGTCTGAACGCGGTCCCGCCACTGTATAGGAGCGCGGTCTGAACGCGGTCCCGCCACTGTGTAGGAGCGCGGTCTATGGCGGCCGCCACTGTACAGGAGCGCGGTCTGAACGCGGTCCCGCCACTGTACAGGAGCGCGGTCTGAACGCGGTCCCGCCACTGTGTAGGAGCGCGGTCTATGGCGGCCGCCACTGTGCAGGAACGCGGTCTGAGCGCGGTCCCGCCACTGTGTAGGAGCGCGGTCTATGGCGGCCGCCACTGTGCAGGAGCGCGGTCTGAGCGCGGTCCCGCCACTCCTTCGAAAGGAGCGCGTCCGAGCCGGGTCGGGCCGCCTCAAACCGCGCTCCTCACATGTGTAGCTCTCCCTCGACAGGAGCGCAACCGAGCAGGGTCGGGCCGCCTCAGACCGCGCTCCTCACATGTGTAACTAACTCTCCCTCGACAGGAGCGCGACCGAGCAGGGTCGGGCCGCCTCAGACCGCGCTCCCCACGCGTGTAGCTGTCCGTCGACAGAAGCGCCCCCGGTAGGGTCGAGCCGCGCTCCTTACGCGTGTAGCTCTCCCTCGACAGGAGCGCAACCGAGCAGGGTCGGATGACTTGGCGCAGGGCACATCACGTGGATCGGGTACCAACCCTTCCGTCACGTGTGGTCGCCATATAGTCGCAATGTGATTGTTTGCTGTACTGTCGTGCTGTCTTACTCGGGGCTGCTTGTTCGCAGGCGTGCGCTCCCCGCTATCTCTGGTTCTCCAGGAACCAGGAGCGCCGTGAGCCCGTCGGCACGTGCTACGTGGCCAAAGACGGATTCTCCAAGATCGAGGAGTATTCTCCTTGCAGAACAGGTAAATGCGTGATTTTTTCGTCATGACGCTGTGCAGACTCCTATAGAAAAAAGTGAACCAAACGTCGCAATCTTAACATGCCGTCCGACAATCTCGATCAAAATATGTTTGTTTTTGATTGGGTCCAAGCTACGACTAATTAAAGTGATGCGATGAAGGCCATGGGTCTGGGGCGAATCCAGGATTTCGTGAAGGGAGGGGCCACGCTTCATTATGGTACCCCCTGGAACTTGGTGCCCCCCACCCCTCACAAAGAAGTCCCCGGACTTCGGGCACTTCATTTCCAGATTCTTATTTTTTAATCGTCAAAATATCCTTCGCCGAAATGATCCGCCGGCTTCGTCCACGTCATTTCTGGAGGTCAACTTTCTTTTATTTTTATGCCGAGCTTTTGGTTTTGAAGATTTTGGTACCCCTTCGGCCCGAGGGAGGGGGAGGGGGTGTGAATACATGCCCCCGGATTTACCATTTCGTGGCCACGTAACACAAGCTATCACTGGCTTTCAGAATACCGTAGATGCAATTCTTTTCAAAGAAGAGTGTAAAGGGCTCTCGCCACCCATGACTGTCTGAGGACAGAGGAAGACGCACGCCTCGAATCACTTGGGTCATAGAGAAACGGCAATCTTAATTCAAAGTTAAGTCTCAGTTCTCAACAGCCCGATTGATGACGGCCCAGTTCTCAGAGACGAACGACTGAGCTGGCATTCATCACGTGACTAGTGGTGTAGCAGCTCTCGCAAAATTGTGATATGGTTTCATGGCTTCAAATGTGTTGTAGCTTAAATGCGTAGCGCAAGCGATTCACGAAATGTCTATGCACGAGAACATGCACGTTTTAACCGCACGTTTTGCCACCAGACGGCTGGGGCTACCACCGTCAAGGATTCTGCCAAGCTGGGTTCGGATCTGCTATTAACAAGGTAAATGCACAGTGATCTGATCCTCTTTGCTTTTCTGGCAACCACTCGATGACAACTAGATGTGGCAAGAAAGCAAGTAGATCGATGTCGGTCTCCCTTTCCACCGGTATGCAATGCATATCAGATGCCCGTCAGTTTCCTCATAGTTTGATGGTAGGCTGCCAATGGTGGCACTCAGGAGCTTCCTCCACCTAGTTTCGTCTCATCTTTTTTTCCTTTTTTCCGCGGGGGCTTTTGGGACAGCGAACTGTTAAGCTGAGCGTGTCGCGACGGGGAATGCCCTGAACCTAACACCCAAGCTGTGCCTCGCAGCTCTTCGGACAGGTTCGCTTCCCACCCCTGGACAGACGGCACAGGAGAGCGTCTGATGCATCGTCACGGGCCTGGGTAGGCCTTTGATGGCCCGTCGCATGCGGATCTTTCTATGCCATTCGGGCTAGACAAAATGCTCGCTCTGAGACTCTTGCCCAGCGTCACCTGGTAAGGAGTCTAGCACCTATATCCCATCCCGCGGGAACGACGGAGAAGTTGAGGTGCCTGTCAGCCATAACAGTCTGTAACTGACTGACCTGGGCAGGGAGGTGTGGGACTCACTGGACCCTGCAGAGACACCTTCGCTAATCAGCGTATCACGGAAGAAGCGACCAAATTTACCTCAGCAGTGTTGGCCTGTTGACGAATTTATCGTATAAACATGGGGATTGTTAGAGACTAGTTCCCTTAAATTCAGTTTGTTAGGTACAAGACCCATGATTGTTAGCCGCTAACTACCTGTAACTTCCGTCGCACGTCTTAAAAGCGGCGTGTAAATGCGGATTGGACTCGAAGTCAATCAGCCCAAAGGCCTTGAAAAATAAACGTATGATACACATAGAATGATGATTGAATGTTATGAAACTCTCGGCAGGTTATGCTCTTGAAAATCTCGTAAATCCGGGATGAATGATTGGCGCCGCCGTGCCGTGTGTGAGCCAGTTAGGCGCGGTGCCTAACGACACCTATGACTGCGCGCTATGCGGTCATCCGTCAGAGGTGACGCACGCGGACCATCCGTCACCGCCGCCCGCCGCTGACCTGGCGTCGCTCCCAGGTCATGTCACGTGACGCGCATGACAGATGGGATGGCCGGCCGGCGGAACCGGCGACCTGGCTAGCACTAACGGGGTTGGGAGGAATCACCGACACTGCGCATGCTCGTAGCCGGCTGCAATGCGGGCAGTAAGACGCGTCATCTCCTGCCTGCCTATCCTGATACACAGTGCAGCTGATAACGCTCGTTAGATAAGTCCACTTCGCAGAAGTGAATTTTTGACGCTAGCACAGCAACGCATCAATAGGATAGATACGGCTCCGAAACCCTTTGTAGTAATTTAGGAATGCTCTGCTAGTCAAGCACACCCCAGGTTTAGCGTCACGCTCTCTTCCCCATATAATGGTTCGTTCTAATGATGATTTTGTCTAGGACTGTCAGGTATGTAAGTTAACTTGTTATTGGTAGAGGCACAGCAATGGGGTTCGATCACAGAGTCCGGCCACTATAACGGCACGGCAAGTAACAAACAAACCTTTAGCTAAGTAAGGCAGCCAGCCGGCCGCCGACGATACAGTCGGAAACACCGGAATCATGACTCGAACCGTCGTTTTACGGAGACGGCCTGCCGCCGGCCGTACCGCGTCTGCCCCCTCCCCAAACGGGCCGACTGCTTCTGGGGCACGTGTTTCGCGCCTTTGTTCGCCTACTCAGACCATGTGCGTGCGGACGCTAATTTTAGGCTGCCGTGTGTGTGCGGGGATCGGGCACCAAATATTTGTGGCGTCTTGTTCTTGCGTATCTGGCGGATAAACTGTTTACCGCGGGCGGTACGACTGCTGCTGGCGGAAAGGTCGGGTTCTGTGAGATGAGCTGCGTGCGGCCTAACCCCTCCCCCGCTCCGCCGCGTCTCCCCGCATGGGGATGGGATAGCCCGACGGACCAATGGCGCTAAATCAGACGGTGGGTGGCGGCTCAGTGTGGCGGCAAGGATGCCGCCGGTAGTGACATCTCTCGGTGGATGGGGGCATTGCTTGTCTCGAGGATACAGAATTGGTGGTCGTAGATGCTGCCGATAGTTCTTTGAAAGTTGGACACGTAGGTTTAAAGCTTTATTGTCCTGTTAAGTGCAGCCAATACTACTACCACAAATGTGACGCCTAACGCGGCATTGTACCGGCATGATAAGGATCAGACCGCCACTTGGTCCGAAGTTGTCTGCAGGGTCAGTATCAGCCTGGCCCACTATCCAGGACCAGTACCACTCTGACCTACCAGTCCAGGATCAGTATCAGCCTGGCGCACTATCCAGGATCAGTACCACTCTGACCTACCGTCCAGGATCAGTATCAGCCTGGCGCACTATCCAGGACCAGAACCACTCTGACCTACCGTCCAGGATCAGTATCAGCCTGGCGCACTATCCAGGACCAGAACCACTCTGACCTACCGTCCAGGATCAGTATCAGCCTGGTGCACTATCCAGGACCAGAACCACTCTGACCTACCGTCCAGGATCAGTATCAGCCTGGTGCACTATCCAGGACCAGTACCACTCTGACCTACCGTCCAGGATCAGTATCAGCCCGGCGCACTATCCAGGACCAGTACCACTCTGACCTACCGTCCAGGATCAGTATCAGCCTGGCGCACTATCCAGGACCAGTACCACTCTGACCTACCGTCCATGGTCAGTGTGAGCCTGACCTACTGCTCGCCACCCTCCAGGCGCGCCGAGTGATACGTCCCCTGCGGGCGCTGCGAGTCGTTTGTCGCAGCTGATAGCTGTGTTTTCCTTTGGCAGGACGGCGACCGTCTCTTCATTGGCGCTGTCGGCAGCTGGTACTGGCAAGGTAAGATAAACACGGAGGGCTCGTTTGGGTCAGCGTGCAGAATCGGATCGCTCATGCCTGGCGAGTGGTGAGAGGGTCTGCTGCCACAGACGCCAGCCGGTCCTACTGCGCTGCGGACCCAGCGCCACGGGCCAGAGCCAGGCGACGGCGGCGGCGGCGGCGGCGGCGGCAGCGGCGGGCGGCAGCGGCGGCGGCCGGGACCCCTCTAACCATCGCTCGCTGTCAATACTGACTGAGCGACGATGCGGTCGGTCCAGTGGGATCCCGCCGGGTGGACATATTTCCTAAATTTCCGATCACGGCTGCTGTTTATAGCGTGCCATTTACGATATACCGTTCTTCACTACCTTCCATGACAAAACACAATAGCACTGTCTCTGTCAGCACGCCTACACGTGGAGCAAATGTAAATGCGCAGAAGTGGATTTTAAAACGGGGTTGGGCCCCCGTCCCCTCTTTTAAGCATGCAGATTACAACAGGTGCACAACCTCAAAGTAGCCCTATTTAGCACATCTGTGTCACAGATGTAGTCATGGACAGGTCTGCACTAGTATATGTGAGCCTGATGTCTATATTCGTTAGATGAAGTAAGTAAAAAGCGCTTATCCACCCTATAAGAAACGGGATGAAATCAAGCTAGGCAGAAAAAATATGCAGTTCAAGAATATCAGGGAACAGACTATATGCTCGAAGTGTTGGACTTACATATTGTTCACAAACGAATCTATGAATGTAGTTTCAATGAAACAATATTACGCATTTGTTTACCCACTTTGATGCATTTTACCCAATACCCTTTTGCTTTGGTATTCGACCGCTGCAGCTGTGGGGTTCTCACACACTGTCAGAGAAAATGATAAAAGTTCTGTTATAGGTTTAAGTTGTAATATGCACATGACATACGCGGTAATTTGCACCAAATGATGTCTTTCTCATAAAGGAAGAATAGCGAAGTTTTTATCACCTTTTGCATGAAGGTATCTTTCATCTGTAAAAAGTCAGAAAGAAAATGTCTGATATCCACAGCCAATAAACTTCCCTACCTTTCTCCCATATACTCTGCTTAGATTCCTAGATCCTAGCTGATCTCACAAAACAAGAAACACGTTGTATCTAGCTGTGATCATCCTGTACCACTCAGGCCGGAAGGAGCCAGTCTTCATCCACAGACACCAGACGAGGTGGGGGGGGGGGGGGGGGGGGCTGATCGGAGAAATCAGGCCTTCAAAGGGCCGCGGGCTTCAAAGAAGCTTCAGAGAGGCATCACTTCCACATGACGTCACAGTCGGGGAGAGGAAGGATTTCTGAGGAAGGCGCCCGTCGCAAGCCGCCACCATCGCCCCATCCATCGACGCCGACGACGATGCGGTGTCGCCGGCGAGCGTTGTTGTGGTGGCTGGCGGCGGGACCAAGGCCCTGCGGTCCCGCAGCTGCCGGGGCGGCCGTGATGACTTGATCGACGCTCTGTTTGTGTGTGCCCCGGCGCACGTGCTGTGCGAGGGGTGTTTTGGCGCAGGGCAGGGCGTCACAAAGGGTGTCACGTATTCGCGGCGCGCGCGCGCCCACAGAGGTAGGCCTCGACTGTGGCGCGCAGGCGTGAGACGGACGCGCGAACGCGAGCTGCGGGACAGTCAGCGGGTTTATTGGCGCGTGTGTATTGAACTGCCACAGCTCGGTACGGTGAAAAGTAGGACACCCAGGGACGATCATGCTTGGCGATTGAGCTTCATGACGGAATACACCTTTGGCCGACCCATGTCGGGGCATCACTTTGTGTAAATAAACACTACTGGCTGTTGAGGAGTGAGCCGGGCAATGATTAGTTCCAGGGGAGAGGGAGTCAGTGACGATCACCCGCATGGCAGCCGACCACTGTCAGGGCTACACCACCGCCTGGATGATGAGACAGTGAAGACTTGCACGGCCGTCTCGATGTGGTATACAGCAGATATGGCCACTATATCGTGTAATGTATTGCGTATTGATAGTTATATGCGTCATGCGTGACATATTGAACGCCTGTAATTTGAACGTGCCAAACGTGATTTGTATACTTACATATATATATATATATATATATATATATATATATATATATATATATATATGCATATATATAAACGATTAAATACACGAGGAGAGGCATCCTCCAACTAAACCTGGCATCAGGCTGAAGTCGTCGGATCTGAAAATTTAAGTTCGGGAGCCCTAGTCCGACATACACAGCAGTCATCGAGGTGATATTTTTCACATGACTGATGGCGTCACAGGCCGGGCAAAATTCATTTAAATTACAGCACAAATATTGGAGCAGCCGGAGGGCTCAAAAACAGACTGAAACGAAAGAGCATGTTCCGCTGCCAGAATACCTTACCATGATATTAATCAAAATCAGCGGTCAGGGTCAGTTCAGGTCAAGGACATGGTCGGTGGCTTCAGTCGGTACGATCGGTCTTCTCAATTCGCATGGCAGACTTGAATCATTGGTTTGGATTCTAGTAAGTTATAATATTTTGCGTCACATATCCTTTAAGTTCTACTCGTATTATGTGCTCTCACATGAATTCTCTTGGTGACCTCTAATGACCTTGTGCAATGTGACCGACACTGACTGGCAGGCAGTCAGACCAGTCGATAAATTACATCTAGACAGCCGAAGAAAAGAAAGGAAATTGGGATTTGCTACATATGGAGCCAACAATCGTCGCATAAGCTGCTCCTGATAAGCTCGACAATCCGATGACCTGATCAAATGTCAAACAAATTTTACTCAGGAACGTGTCAAACTGATGCCCCGTTAAGTGCTGAAATATGGGAGGCCTACCTAACGCGATTCAGAAGTTCTTCTTGAATCTCGAGGTCAGTGTACCCTGCAGGAGGTTGCTGATTACGTATATGGTTATCGTTTTGCTAAATGCGCTTACAGTATCATGTTCTTTAGAACGCGTGACAGTTGGAATATGCTACAACCGTAGGTTTTCGGATTTACCCTCTTGCATGCCATCATCTCCAAGTCGTGATCGTTACTTATTCTGTGAAACGGCCCGCATGAGTTGAATTATGCATACCTGCTCAGGCGAGGTCGCCGCCTTTCTTGTCGCCTTATTTATGATCATAATTTTTAACTGAAATCAACCAGTAACGTAACGGTGCAATTTATCGTTTGTTGTCTGACGGAACCACTGAGATGAAGTCGTGATATGAACCACACTGAGTAGGTAATGCGGGCATGCATATGAGTTGCATTCACATGCAAGGAGCAAGCATTTCCATACGCGCACAGGCTGTTGACCTTGAAACATTTGCTCCGCACATCCCGACAGTAGGGATGAATCATCTAGACAGATGCGTTGTCGGACAAAAACCAGCCCACTTATTTGTCACCGCTTGTTTGTCCGCCAGCATGGCCAGTCTCCGGCATGCTCCTCGTTTTCTCATTACGCGCCGCGATTTGTATTACTGAACCAGACGGCCGGTGGTATGTTCCTGCTGTACCCTTAAATAACGTACCATAATTTTGATATCTGCAGTGATCTTACTGCTCCCATGAACATAACAATTTCAAGTTTGCACTTGTCATGTGTGTGTGTGTGTGATATAGAAGCTTACTTTTGAAGCCTGCAAATATCTTAATTTTTGGCAGTGGAGTAATGGACTCTATATTTAAAACTGTAACAGGCTAATGATGATTGAAGATAAATTATGGTCATTTAAAACTGTAACTTCCGTCGTGTTTTGTTCCTTCAAGTATGTTGTACCTACGTCTGCTACCCTGCTACTCTGTCAATTTTGGCTTAATGAGCAAATGTAGAGGAATAAAGACGCCCCCACCAACAGGCTGCTTTCTTGGCCGTTGTCGCCGCCCCACTGCCATCGCCGCCGACGCCGCCGCCGCTGGCTACGCCGCGCGCATATATGTGAATACGGACGGCCACATAGAGAGAAATTTTACCGACCAAAATCTGTTCATTTCCGCTCGAATGCACAGAGCATGCAAAGCATCTTAATCCAACAAATGCGGCAGTTTTCAGGAAGCGCTTCACAATCTCGTTGCTAGTGGGTGTTTATTTACCATGGCTGTGTGGCAGCTGTGTTAAACGTTAAGCCATCTGTAAGTAGCACTCTTACGGTGAGCAGTGGGCACAGTGAAAGCCAAGTTTACCGTCTCTTGTTTACATTGCCCTTTCGCGTCGTGGCGACCATGTCAGACGCCACATGACAGCGGTCAAGCTCATCTTCAGTTTGAGAGGGGCTACGGTCCCCAATTTCGGGAATGAAATAGCTAAATCCGTTGTCAGTATTTGTATAGGCATTTTCCGTGCTTAGCCCTGACTTATTTTGCGAAAATATACACCTTCTACCAGAGCCCGCTTAATAGCACAGCTATACCTTAAATTTACAGTGAGCCAAGTTGTCTCTCATATTCATGTAGGCGGCTTGATAACATTCTTGGGAGAGTAGGAGGGTGGCATGTAGCGGAGCCACATTCCTGAAGGAGAAGAATAACGAGTAACGAAACTGCATTCTTAGTTAAACGGTTTGCACCAATGGCTATCACAATGGCTGTTTAAAAACGATAACAATTGAATAGGCATTTGTAACCAAATTCAAGGTATGTTTCTATTAGAACGGAGCCAAAGTGCGCGCTGCCAAATCTGCTTATATAGCTGATTTTCAGTGTTTTTTTTTAAAATTATACGGAACCTGCATTCTTGTTAACCGTCTCCTCACCGCACACGCCATCATTTCGGAATGTTTTGGCTTAGCATGCAGCCTGCGGAAAGCGTACAAAAAACATTATTTGGTATCAACCATAGCTTATACGCCACCGCAGCAGCTAAGTTCATGATATCATGATGCCGTTAGTTAAAGGGAGTCTGCAGGCCTGCCTCGCGAGTTTCCTGTAGCTGCCTCGTTGGATCTTCCGCGACGGACAGAACCCGTACATCTCTCTGGGACTGTCTCAGCGGAGGCCCTCCGCCGCGGCTGCTCCCGTGAC